CAGGTTCTCTATCTGGTGAGGCTCGGTCCAGGCCAACCACCAGAACCTTAACCACAGTGTGATGCGGCGAATCGTCTTCCTCCATTCACCCCATTCTTCATTTAATATGTGTCCTGAGGAGTTTATTTCTTGATTATTATTTATGTGTCATTTTTATTTTTTTAATCCTTTTTTTTTCAGTTTTGTTCTCAATAATGTTCTCACCTGCGCATTTGATGGGTTAAAGCAGTTACATTCACATGTAGTCTATAGAACATAATGAAGGTAAGCTGCAGCTTTGGTGACAGATAGAAATTGTTTTGGTGGAACACTGGCATGCAGGGAGACAAGCACTGTGATTAAAATGGATAATCCACCACAAAAAAACTAGCAGCGCTGCTTTACTTGCACGATGCAAATCCTCTGCAAAATTGTTGTTGTTTCCTGTTGTGAAGAAAACGATTACACACAGATAACAAAAGGAGGGAGAATGCTGCCTGAACGGCATCATACAGGCAGCGAGACGGACTCATTCACATAAACCATTGTTCCTCCTGGCCTTTAATAAAAAAGAGTACTTTAAAAATGATTGTATCTGATCATATATATATTATATACTGAGTGAAATTAAACATTTTATTGTGTTAAACTATGTTGCTCAGTCTTATTATGGTTGCTTTTTTTTCTGCTGCAGCATTTCTGACCAACATCTGGCTCTTTTGTGCCACATTTAAATGCTGAAGTTTCCCTTTAAATCCAAATAAATGTGTGTTTTCAGTCTGCTGTGCTGAGAAGGAGTCTAGTGCACCTTTAACCAGTATGAGGGGTTGCTTACATCTGCATCCTACATCAGGTGAGCCGCATTAATTCACATTAAACCCTTATTGAAAACCTCATTTAAAGATAATAGATAATTATATATTGACTGACATAAAACGTTTCATTTTGTTACATTTTCAGCTGTATTGCTCAGTCTTAGTGTGATTGTTATTTATTGCCTTTTCCAGAATTCTACGTACCCCAGCTTTAATCTTAAATGGGAATATAGAAGAAGGGAAATGCATTGTGGGAAATGTAGGATGAAATGTTTCTGGAGCTTTGACTGACTCGACAGTAAAAGTCAGGACAAGTTATTTCTGCTGCAGCACTGATGACCAACATCTGTCTCATTTGCACCACATTAAGTTGCTCAAGTTGCCCTTTAAATCCAAATGAAGATGCTGTCGAGCTGTTGATTTGCATTATGGGAAATGTATGCTCAAGTATTTCTGGAGCTTGACAGGACACCTTGAGCATCATGTTTGAAGAATTGCTTTTGTGACACATTAAGATGCTGACATTTCCCTTTAAATCCAAATAAATGTGTGTTTTCAGTCTGCTGTGCTGAACAGTCCGGTGCACCTTTACTCAGCATCAGCGGTTTCTTATACCTGCATCCTACATCCAGTGAATCAGACTAATTCACAATAAACCTGTTTTCGCCGAGCTTTTAATAAAAAGGTCATTTAAAATTAACAAATTATATTTTGATTGAAGTAAAAAATTTTGTGTTGCGATTTTGAGCTTTATTTCTCAGTCTGGCTTTGGTTGTTTTTGCCTTTTCCAGATTTTTGCATACCCCAGCTTTAATCTTAAAAGGAACTATTGAAGGAGGGAAGATGCTGCTGATTTGCATTATGGGAAATGTATGCTCAAGTATTTCTGGAGCTTGACAGGACATCTTGAGAATCATTTTTGACCAATCTCTTTTGTGCCACATTAAAATGCTGACGTTTCCCTTTAAATCCAAATAAATTTGTGCTTTCAGTCTGTTGTGTTGAGGATCAGAACTGGGAGCAGCAGCACTAACAGTAGTAGTCTGGTGCGCCTTTAACCAGCGTGCGTGCGCACATGCGTAAAGTGTAGTAGGTGTCCGCGCATGGCATCTCGGCGCCTCCTGCGCTCTGCCGTCCTCTGCCGCTGGGTCGCTGGTGATGCCGAGCGTAGCGGGGCGCTCGTACATTTCTGTGTGCGGCTACAACCGCAGTTGCCAAGACTGAATGAGACGGAGGGGAAGGAGCTGGAAATCTGATGATGGATGGTCCGAGCTGTTCCTCATCGGCCGGACAGCTGTAACGTCGGCGGAGACACGCGTGGATTTAATCAAAGGTGAGAGTGCGGCTGTGAATCACGGAGGAAATATCCCCCTTATTCACCCTGTACCACTTATCCTCCCCATCTGATGCTGCTGCTGCTGCTGCTGCTGCCGCCGAGGAGGAGGATGATGATGCTCTAAACGCAACCTGCGTGATTTTCCTCCGGTAAAGGCCAGTTTCCCTCCTCTGCCTCCTCGAAGCTCCGTTTGAAAAAGATGCTGGATCGCTATTGTTTGTTGAGGATGAAGGAGTGAGGAAAAAAATGTATCACGACACACAATTCCCATTGCGGAAATAAGGTAAATAGGCAGTTAAATCAGCAATATGGCTGCGTTTGTGGCTCCAGAAGTGTTTTTTTTTTTTTTTCTGAAGTGTTGCAGTCGCTCAGTGTGAGAATTAAAGGCTCGTAGAAACGGAGAAGTGAATGATATCAGCGGCGGGGAGATACTGCAGTAACCGAGTCCTTATGTTGACTCGCGTCAAAGGATGTTGTCATTACCTCGAAGCTGAAGGTGCGGTTACAGTAGAGGGGGAAAAAACACAGAAAATGCACCTTTGCTGGCCTGTAATGATGCACTGACTCCAGCACAGAGGTCTAACATTGGAATCAGAATGACTGTTTGTGTGCAAATGAATCCAGAGTTTTATCACAGTGATCATCACACTGGCTGTTGGATTCCTTTTGTCATGAATTATTGAAAACTTGCTTCCTTATCTTACATTAAAAAAAAAAGAACTTCTGCTTACATTTTCTTCCCTCCGAACACACTGAGAAAAAATTCCTTTTAGTTGCCTACTCATGAATTTCACAGGCTGAATATTTACAATGAACCATTGTGTGTTATTCTGCTGACATGTGCCTGTTGGGTCTCCCACTGCATCGCAAATGTTTTCTCAGCAGGCTCAAAAAAAAAATGTCCAAAAATAGTTTGGCTTGTGCTCTATTTAACATATCATTGGGTGGACTTTATCCAAAGTGTCTCTGCACCCTACATGTGTGACATTTTTGCCCTGGCGATTTTTGCTCCAAAGAGCCGCAGTTGTGTTTAAAAAATCATAATTGAAGTGGTTTATTGCTGCCTTGAAATGCAGCCATATCTGCTGCTGGTGATATGAGCTGAGGATGAGTCAATCAGGCGCTCAAAAGAAGAAGAAAAAAAAAGAAGAAGCAGAAAATCAATCATTTATAAAACATGTTCGTTTGGTTTATCAGAAGCTTTTTTTCTCAGAAGGGGAGTTTGGGTTGTTGGTGGGAGGAAAGCAAAGGTGTCACCTTGAACTGTAGGAAATCACAAAGGCAAGAGGATGATTTGGTTTTAAAAATGAGCATTAGCTTTAATCATAACATCTGCTGCTGAGAGTCCAGCAATTAAAAACACAAGTTTTTTTTTTTGGCTGGGAAAGAGTCTCAGTCATAACATCAGTGTGAGGAGAGACTCTGTAGATGGGAAATAAAACTATCTATATGTAGTGAGAGCAGCCTTCCTGAATCTTGTTTGGTCACGCTCTGCTGACCGGCTGATCCCCCCGGTCAGCGAACGCATCCTGCATGGGATCCAGACGTGTTCTGGGAAGGATGCTCGGACAGTCCAGAGATTCCTCCCGGCGCTCATCAGTCATTGGCCGGCCGTAATGTGCCTCCGCGTCCGTCATCATTAAGCGGCTCCTTTCGCAGCTCAGTCGGTGTCATTAGCCCACAAGGATGCAAGTGGCTGCTGAGCGGGATGTCATGGAGAATTACCATTTGCAGAGACCACAGGCGCTGGAGAGCTCCCCAGCCGGGCCTCACTGATATCTCTGTACAGGAGGAGAAAGAAGGAAAGAAAGAAAGAGTGGAGGGGAGAGGAGGGGGGGGAGTAAAAGCACAAATTGAGAGTTAATGAAGTCCTTGAAGGAGCCAGAGAGCTGAGGTGTTAATTACTTATTTAAAAGTCAACCATGAGCAGCTTATCTCTGAGAGCAACGGCGACATCAACTCCAAAGTCCACTAACATTTGTCATTGTGTCTCCTTCTTCTTCACAGGGTTCAGGGCTTCACTTTGTTTGACATTCAGGCAGCAGCAGGTAAGAGCTCCTCCATCCTCAGTGTGGCTTCGAGAATCAAGCATCGCATAACGTCTTGATGAATTCAGATCCATTGATTCTGAGCTGCACACCAACCGAATGCACCCGTTTCAAGCAAAAAAAACTGACTTGTTGCACAACATCCAAAGCCCCGAGGACACTTTTTTGAAGAAAGAGTGAATAAAGGAATGAAACCTGTGGTGTTTCAAAGAGCATTTTTCTCTCACAAGTATGACTTAAAGCAAAAAAAAAAAAAAAAAACAGGCTTTTTGAAGACGCACAACAAAGTGTTCAACAGATGTGGATTCTTTTTGGTATTAAAGAGATGAGGGACCAGGATGATGTCTGAATCATTACAACTAATTGTTGGTGATTAGTAAACAGCATTACAAAAACAGCTTTTCTTTTATTCCTGCAGCTCGGTGTAACGCTAAATACGTCCTGTCAGCATGTTTTAAAGGAATAGCTTCGGGCTTTTTCGGGCAGGAATATTATTATATCTATCAGCCAGGTGCAGATGCCAGGAAGTTAGAAAAAAAAAACCATCCAGCACACCCTAAAACCACCACTGGTCATATTTGCGTTCTGTTTTTTTTTGTGCCGATTAGATTAAAAAAAAAAAAAAAAAAAGTTAATTACGGGAGCTTTGGAGGTCACACAGCGTGTTGTTTCCATCGTTTTCAGTCTTCAGCTGCTGGCTGTAGATTCATATGAGGAAGCTTATTCGCTCACATATTTATATGCAAGAAGGGAACGAGGGCATTTCCCATAATGTTGAGCTACTGCTTCGACCTTAATCATAAAGAAACAGCATTATTTATTCGTTTTGTGCCCGGTCCAGTCTGATTATTAGCGTGGGCTTTTAACCCTCTGAACCCTGAGCAGGTTTATTTGCTCCTGTTATATTTTTTATTCACTATTAGCTCATTTTTCACTGCAACATAAAGTCCTGCACCTCGATGGAAACGGCACAAGCATGACTAGAGGAAGAAAGAACTCAGAAAGGTCTTCAGTGTAGAGAAAACTGATTATAGTGCCGTAAATCTGAAAAAAAAGAAGAAAGATGACATTCTTTGAAACAGCTGGAATCATCATCCAACGTTTGGTTAAATGCCCACATGTTATCAACACTGAAAAAAATCTGTATTTATTCTGTTATTCATTTATTTTTTTTTACCTTTACTCTTTACACTCTATGTATTTTAATACTTAAACAGCTGATTTTCAAAAACAGATAACTCCATGTTTGTAGATGTTCAGAAAACATATTTTTTTGTTTGCTTATCAATCAAACTGAAGTTGATTTGACTCAGTAGAAATGACAAAAATAGAGATGACTTAAGTTTGATTGATATTATCTCAGGTGGAAGATGGAAAAGGGGGTTTTCTGAAGGTTTGTGAAGATGGAGTTATCTGGTTTTGCAACGAACTCGTCAGTTAATTTTTAATTACCTTCCATACTTGTCTACTATCTGCTCTGTTTAAACACATCCTGCAGTTCAGCTGAAACATCTCTGAATTTTTGCCACATGTATGTTGTTTGCAGCTGAGTCATTCATGGCTTTTCTGCAGCACTGAGGATACACAGAATTTTTTGTTTTTTACCAAATGTGGTTTTTGCAAACGGCTCGTTTTTGCCGATATTTTAAAATAAGAATAGATTTTTGATAAAATATCCTGATTTTTTAGCTCAGATTTGGATCATTTTTGCAACAGAACAGAACAACAATGCAAATGAGTAGTTCAAGGCCCTTTAGAAAGTTGGAAATCTAACAATTCTTCCTGTTTGTATCGCGTCTGACTCTGATTAATTGTTTCATTTAGTTTTTTTTTCATTTTTAAAGATAGCATGCCTTTCCAACCAGCCTGCAGGTTTTGCGGTTCAGAGGGTTAAACAGATTTAATTTCACATCATGTTTATGTTTCACAAAGGAACTAGCTACTGGGATGACTAACAAAGTCCTTGATTCACCGGATGAATTATCAGGATAAGAGAACGTTCTGTACGTTGTTAGCGCGCTCTGATTCAAGAGTTCATCGGTGGGTTTCATTCACTTATTCCAACCACGTAGCAGATCCCTCCTCCATTGATAAAACATTGCACACATGAACACCAGACTCTTGTTCCGTTTTGTTGTGTCCACAGAAATCGTATATGTATCTGTTACATCTCTCCACTTCCTTCAGCTGCATGTGCTGAATGTAAATGACTCGTATCTTATCTGAATAACTTTGGACAATGAAGGGAGCTGTGTGATGCATTTATTAGCATGCCGCTGTCTGAAGAGTTGAACGCCGCATGCTCTGCTGTTTGATGTGCCACAGGATGATCGAGGAAGGCAGCAAACGAGGCAAGGCCATGGTGGAGAAGAGACAGCTCTTCATGGAAATGAGTGAGTGGAGTCGACTGAGAGAAAATCTCTTTTCACTATCTATAGTCAGCTCGTGTGATTCTTTGACTGGCTGGAAGTTGCACAGGAGATGCGTGGTCCCTCGCACGTGTGAGCCCTCCCACACGGAGGCAGTTTGGAAAGCTTTCATTTGATTTCATTGAACTGCCATCTGAGAGCATTTTGTAGTAGATTTGTCACGACTGGTTTTCTGGGTTTTTTTGTTTCGCAGGAGCTCAGAACTTTGACGTTATCAGACTGTCGACTTACAGGACTGCCTGCAAACTCCGGTTTGTGCAGAAGAGATGCAACCGTAAGTAGATTCCTAAAGATTTTCCTCCTCTATTCAGCTCTCATGACACAGTGAAAGCAGCCGAATCATTTGTTTAAACATGGACCTAATTGATTGCACTCTGTCTGTTTCTCCCTCCCCCCCCTCACAGTTCATTTGGTGGATGTCTGGAACATGATCGAAGCCTTTCGTGACAACGGGCTCAACACACTGGACCACAACGCCGAGATCAATGTCTCGCGGCTGGAGACCATCCTGTCTTCCATCTACTACCAGCTCAACAAGCGGCTGCCCACCACCCACCAGATCAATGTGGAGCAGTCCATCGGGCTGCTGCTCAACTTCATGGTGGCCACGTATGACAGGTAGGAGACACAGAGGGGCAGTCTGGAGGTGGAGACTCCCACAATCCTTCTTTGTTTGGTCAGAAGTCAGAGCAAACATGGACGATAACTCACTTATGTTGGGTTAAATGTTCATAGGTGCATCGTAGCATGTAGCAGCCAGTCTGACATTCTCAAAAAAATATATATTTTCTGTAAATTCAAATATTTTTCTGCTCGCTGGAAATCAATACAGCACCTTAAATGCTAACAAACAAACAAATTTAAGTTAATTCAGGTATTTATCGTCGCCTACAAGAAAATTAAAACAACAAAAACATCAAAAGAGTGGAGCATAAATGGACATTAAGAAGTGTTCAATCAGTCAGTCAGACTTTATTCATGTAGCACTTTTCATGCTAATGAAATGTAAAACAAAGTGCTTTACTGATGAAAGGAATAAAAATGCAATAAAACGACCAGATAAGTAATAAGACTATGAAGTAATTAAATAAATAAAATATCTGTTATTAAAATAGAGATAGACAGGTGAAGGGCGAAAGAGAAGTCAAAATTCATTAAAAACAGAATCATAAAGTAATAAAAATAAAGTAATAAACGATACATTGAGTAGACTAAACTATTTATATAAGTGAATAAATAAATGAATTGATAAATACAATTAATTCTGCCAAGAGTAATAATTAAATAAAATCCATTTAGTCATTTATAAGTAGTAGGTCTTGAGTTTTTCTTTAAAAACATCATGCAAAATTTAGTAAAAATGAGAGTAAACATAAGATTAAGTTTTAGCTTGTGCAGGCCTGTGTAGTTTATTTAAATAAAATGCATGAAGTCAATAAAAATCTGCATCCACAGCACCAAATGTTTGGAAAATCTGGGTCTGACATGAAGACAGGACGTCAAATCTGTGTGATTTGGAGACATTTTCCTGCACGTGTTGTCAGGTGATGGCGTCACTTAAAGCTAATGAAGCCTTGTTAAAGATGGACGTGCATGGCCAGCTCGTTATTCTGTTGCATATTTACATCCAGAATACAGTCTTACTCCACATCAGCACAGTGGACAGGGAGCGGGTAAAGTATTAGGGAGACAGAAATGTGTATTTTTAACTTCTGTCAGCACCGAGATCAGGATTTTAGAGATATTGAGGTCATGAGTCAAAATCCAACCCCTAGACACCAATAAGGCTCTCTGAGATTGTTTCATTATTGGGATTGTTCGTACTTTATGTGCTGGGTTTTATCTAACAGACGAGCTCAAAGGAAATGCACTTAACCAGCCAACTACAATATGAATCCATTTATTATGCAGAAACTATTATTTTTCTCCTGTGTGAGGATTTGCTGCTGCTCTTTGGCTTATCTTTGAGAAGACTTCCTCACTTTGAAATTTGAATAAAATGAATGTCACAGAACAGTTGTCTTTATATTCTAAGCTGTAATTAATATCATTATGCACTCCCCTGCCACTTTACGAGTCGGCTTTCTGTTGTTCTTGAGGTGGGTAATGTGGTGGCGGTGTGCCGGACTGCATTACATTTAAAAGTGTTGCTAATCAGAGTCAGAATCAGAAACACTTTATTGATCCCTGAAGGCAAATTGCTTTCGTTACAGTTGCTTCCGTTCAAGTCTTAGAAATTTGAGCAGTCGAGAAAATAAATAAATAGGTAAAGCAAGATTAACACAAGTAGAAAAATATGTCGTCAAATATAATCACAAGTAGAAAAGTAAAAGCCTAAAATATAAAAATGTGCTTTATAATAAGAAAATAAAATGAAAGTATACAGTGTGATAAATAGTAAAGGCGTTATAATTGTGTTGTTGCACATTGTTGCGAGTGAATTCGACAAGTGAATATGAGTTAAAATATTTTTATTTTAATAATGTTTTAATGATATTTTGTCCATCCAATTAAAATACACGAGGGAGGCAAAATATTAGGAACACCGTTACACAATAATAAAGATAAAGTAGAATCATCTTCTTTTTGACAACAAAACTTAAAGTATAGAAGCATCGTAAAATTGAATTTATGTCAGAACTGTTTTTGCATCAGATTTCACAATAAAAGCACCAAACAAAGTGGCTGATGAGTGTAAAATATAGTACAAGTTGTATTTTTTTTCTCCCAGGAAATTCTATAAAATAGCTTTTTAATAAATTACAGACACATACAATGCAGTTTTAGCATTTTAGCATCACAAAAATAAAATCCCTCTCCATCTTAAAAACATACTGCCCTAAAAGGAGAATCCATGTACATTATAACTGTGCAAATATCCACAAAGGATAGAAAAAAAGGCTGCTGTGTAAAATAAGCACCTATCAGCCGGAGTAACCCCGGCAGTGTTTTACTGTACATCCCTCCTCTTAATGCCTCCTCAGTGCTGGAGGGCCCAGACGCTGTGCATCCCGGAGCAGAGAGGTTTATTATTGACCGTAAAGCTACTCTCTCATTATTGTACCTTGTGCGCTCAAATTGATTGGCTGCTTGCCCTCTCCATTCATGGGCCTCATTCAATTGGTTTACTTTTATCTGCGAGGCCATTCTGGTCCCGCTCCCTCATTATTCATGCCGCCGTATCTCTGGGAAACTTTGTAGGAAATGACTGACTCGCGATCACAGGAAGCGGTTTCGCTATCTGTCCCTTAGGTCCAAACTGAATTAGGCAGGAGAGCTTTCATGCACTCTGCTACCTCTGCTCGGAAGCAAGGAGCTAAATGAATCTAAAATGAAGCAGCTGCTCTCTCTTGGCGAGTTGAAAAGATTTTAAGAAGAATGGCGGCCTGATAAAACCGCCGAATACCGACTGCGTATCCGTGTTCATCTGTGAGTCGAGGGCTAGTTCGGGATTTTTGACAAGTGAATGCAGCACGGATGCGTTTCATTGCTGTACGGTGCTGATTCTCTTACATTTTTAATCTCAGCAGAGTTCTCATCCTAAATGAAGACTCCACTAATAAGTAGATTAAAATGTGCTTTATTTAAATGTTCCTGTAGAACACGACAACAATAGAAGAATACAGTAAACTATAATACGGTTTGCTAATACTAGAACAAAAGCTGTGATTATAACAGAGGAAATATGGCTTTAACAGCAAATCCTCTCAAGAAATGTACACTTTGTTCACTATAAATTCAATTTCTAAGACTCATTGTGTCATTTTCAGTTCATGGTGTCACTTTACTGCAAGAGTTCCCAAACTTTCCAGCTTCTTTATCCCCAAAATAATAGTGTCACTAATGGTTTATCCAAAAACAGACATAAAAACAGCACAAAAGAACCAAACAACTGTAATTTTATTTTGTAGTAATTTGATAAACAGGATAAGATAAGCCTTTATAATCCCACAGTGGGGGAAATTTGCAGCAAAAGGGAAAGTGCAAACATTTAAGGAATATAGTACAAAAATAGGAAATAAACCAAAATATACAGAAGTACTAGAAATATAGCAGTATTGTACATGTCAGTGGTGCTGCACACATTCATAGAGAAGTATTAATAGTGCACAGACTTTTTTTTTAAGTAGTAACATAATAATAAAGGACGTATTCTAGTAGATGTAGAAAAATAGATATTCAGCAGTGATCTTAATGTATTAACGGAGTAAATATATAGTATGTTTATTCAGCTTTTGTAGCATTTGTGGCTAAAATATGGTCTTTTCTGTAACTTTTAAGTTTGTTTTGATTCCTAGAAATCATCCATTCAGGGCCTCGACCCACAGTTTGGACACCACTGCTGTGCTGTATTGATGAACTGTCACCTCTCTTTCCACTTGCAGCGAAAGCCACGGGAAGCTGACCGTCTTCTCCATGAAAGCCATGCTGGCAACCATGTGTGGAGGCAAAATTGTGGACAAACTACGCTGTAAGTTCAGCTTCCATTTAAATGCATTTTCTAGAAGTTTGGTGCCCTTGTCTGCTCAGTGTTCTCCACTTGTGTAGTTGCTTGGATCAAACACACAGGGGCGCTGTTGGAACGTACAAGCGAGATTCCTTCGTTTTAAATGTACATGTGTTAACTCTGCTGAGCACAGTGTCTGAGGATCAATAGTTTCCATTCATGTAAATGTCAAAAGCCAGTTTGCGCCCTGTTTCGGCTGAGAATAAGGCTTGACATTTTGCCGTCCCTCAGACATTTTCTCGCAGATCTCGGACTCAAGCGGAGCCATGGTGTTTGCTAAGTTCGACCAGTTTCTCCGGGAGGTGCTGAAGCTCCCCACGGCTGTGTTCGAGGGCCCCTCGTTCGGCTACACGGAGCATTCGGTGCGGACGTGTTTCCCCCAGCAGGTAGGAACGGGACACTGCACCGCACACCTTCGTCTTCACTCTGCAGGAAGGTTGACTTACACTCTTTTGTTGAATCCATGTGTTTGTATCCAGAAGAAGATCATGCTGAACACGTTTTTGGATGTGTTGATGGCAGATCCTCCCCCTCAGTGTCTCGTGTGGCTACCACTCATGCACCGACTTGCTAATGTTGAAAATGGTAAGTTCTTGAAGTTTGGGGGTCAAATTTAGTGCAGGATCTGGAGTTGCCTGGGCAAGAAAAGCCTCATTTTTCATGTCATGAACCAGTTTGGGCTCAAGGATTCAACATCTTCCAGCCTCACACAATCAGGCTCTGGAAGTGATGCACAAAAAGCCTGAAAAGATGCTTTCTGCCGAGCTTCATTCATTCCTTGTTTCTCAAATTCAAATGCATCAACAGTTTAGCTGCAGAGCCTCTTTCCTCAAATATCCAGATACAAATTGAGTCTTTGTGAATGAAAACTGCAAAAACAGCACATTGCACATCTGAATTTGGACGATCAGCGCTGAACTCTGGAACACATTACCGCCTGAAATCAAATTATTTACAGACAGAATCTTTCACAACAAATTTACGGGCTGGGTAAAGGCTATTTTTAGCTAAATGTAGTTTGTTTTTTCCCTCCCGTCGCGTTTAATGCATTTTATTACGACTATTTCGTTGTAATTCCACGTCATTTTGATTCCATTGTGTGTGAAGAAGCCCAAGTGGGAACAAGAGGTGAACATTAGCCTCACACTGTCTGTGCAGCACATCAGTTTCATGCTCTGTGTCAGAACTATTGTTAAATAAAAATACACTCAAATAGCTAGAAAATAGGTAATTATGACAAACTAAGTCAGCAAAACAAACTTACAAGTAGATCCATAATGCAGCTTCGTGCTAGTTCAGACAGGCTCGGAGTCAGGCCATCACGGGGCCCAATCATGCACCTACTCAGCTTATTGGTGCGCCTTATAACCAGGCTCATTCATTCATTCTTTAGCTCTGTGCTTGCCTCGTCGCTGCCACGTCACTGCCGCTTTCGTTGCTTGCCCCCCCTCAACCTCCTCCTTGTTATAAATCTGCCGTACGTACATCACTTATTTTCATACTGTCCTGCAGTATGTTCAATCATTTGGCTCTGCTGGGGGATCCAGTGATCTCAGGGACTGTCTGTCTGTGTCATGCCTGCTCAGATTGTTCCAGAGCAGGGGTGGGCAGTCCTGGTCCTCGAGGGCCACGATCCTGCATGTTTTAGATGTTTCCTTCTTCCAACACACCTGATTCAGATGATCAGCTCATCATCAAGCTCTGCAGAAGCCTGATAACGATCCTGATCATTTGAATCAGTGTGTTGGAAGAAGGAAACAGCTAAAACTTGCAGGATTGCGGCCCTCGAGGACCGGAGTTCGACACCCCTGTTTTAGATGTTTCCTTCTTCCAGCACACCTGATTCAAATGATCAGGATCGTTGCCAGGTTTCTGCAGAGCTTGATGATGAGCTCATCATCTGAATCAGGTGTGTTGGAAGAGGGACACACCTAAAACATGCTGGATAGGGGCTCTCGAGGACCAGGATTGGGCACCCCTGATCTAAAACATGCAGTATCGTGGCCCTCGAGGACGAAAGTAAAAGAAAAAGAAATGGTTTAAAGTCCTGTCTGAACTAGATTTACTGTCACAACTACCAGGATCCAGGTAGATATGTAACATATTTAACACCACATACTGGAATAGTCAACATGCACACAGAGAGTTGCAGGTAAAAGAATCTACAGCTGGTTGCCTGGTTATCCCCAGTTATACTGAGTCAAAAAAAAAAAGGCAAAATGCTGAAAAAATTTTCTTTAAGTAAAGCAATAGATAAATAGTTGTACCATTCAGCTTCTATGATTAGAACTTTGTTAAACTGACTAGAAAAAAATATGTATATAAAAAAACAATGACAGTTCTGGCTAGAGTGTTGATTTTTTGTATAGTTTAAATAGTTTTATAACATTTAGAATCATTTTAAATAAAGAAATAAGGCAACAGACAGCAGGTTAAAGAAGTATTTTGATCTGTTACTCAAGTTAAACACCAACACAACGGTGTAAATAAGTTCTATACTGAAGTTATGACCCATAAAAGGATCAAAAGTAAAGGCATCAGCTCTCCACTAAAACATTCTCTGTGGCTGATGCTTTATTATATTTTGCATTGCTAATGTTGCATAGTTAATGGATTAATGTGTAGTTTACTGTTATAGATCGTCAATTGGAAGCTAGTTTCATTTACTCCACATACAGCTTGTTAGTTTATGGATTCTTAGATGATTTAAGAAAAACATACAGAAATTTACATTCAAGTTTTGGATGTTTTGCAGATTTTTTTGTGAAATATTTGATATTTTTTAAATACTTAGACTTCTGAACAGTTACTTAAATGAAGCCATCACAGGCGTTTAAACAGGAAAAGTCTCTTTGGTGGAACTGCAAACGACTGACGGCTGAAATGGGAAAAAGTTTAGCAAACTGTGGATTAATCTTTAACTAAGTGTTGCATTTTATACGTTTTTATAGGTTTTTATTGTCTCTTTTTGTAAAGTAATGAATAGATCTGTCAAATAAATGTGATTGAGTAAAAAGAACAACATTTGCATCTAAACTGCAGTGGAGCAGAAGCACAAAGTGACATAAAATAGATATTAAAAGTATATCAACGTTTACTTCATTCCTGAGTAAATTCACTTCGTTATAGGTTTGCTGCCTCACAGAGTCTTTTCTTTGTGACTGACAGTAGAGACGTCACCGCTCTGACAGAAAATCCTCTTTTTTTCCCCTCGTGTTTGGACACTCAGTCTTCCATCCGGTGGAATGTTCTTATTGCCGGAGTGAGAGCATGATGGGTTTCCGGTATCGGTGCCAACAGTGCCATGGCTACCAGCTCTGTCAAAGCTGCTTCTGGCGTGGCCATGCCAATGGTCCCCATAGCAACCAGCACCAGATGAAGGAGCACTCGTCTTGGGTAAGAAAAAAAGCTCTGAATCTCTCTCATTTTTACATTCCACTGTTCCCTTTTCCACACAAAGTCAGCATCATCTCTGAGAGTGTGGAGCGATTTTACAACACAGCAGCCGTCTCCTTACGTCTCGTAGTAATCCAGGAGGGATTTTATGGGGTTTTTACTCATTTTGGCAAATGAAATTGTATTGATCGAATTTGCTGTGTCGCCGCATTCCCCCCGAAGCTCAATCAGTACGTTATAAATTGAAACAAGGGGAGTCATAGGCGCCAGATCCCGAATCCATTTCCCATCCCACTCGGATTTCTGCACAGAGAAGAATGACTGCCCGTCGCTGCAGGACTGGAATGACATGCCTGAGTGCAGGAAGCACAAAACGCCGTCTCTAATGTGACACAAACATTCATGACGTTTCTCACATAGGTGGATGAATCTGGGACGTGGTTCTGTTTTAAATTTGTATAATTCTCCGTCACATCTGTGACATTGTTTGCCGCACGCCGCTCGGTTTCCAAAACCTCCTGTAATGTTTGTTTTTTGGCATTTGGCAGCTTTTTCGTTTCCCTCCATCCCGATTAGTTGGCAGTATTACTGGCAGCCATCCTTCTTGTGACAGGAAAAAAATGGCTGCATGTTTAGGAGTCTCAGTGTGGTCCCCCCTCTCTGAATGCAGAATATATGTACTCCCCTCTTTTTATTTGTGTCAGATTAGAAGCTTTATTTATGTTGCATCTCAATATAATCTTCCTTTAGTAAGATTCATACCAGAGAGCAAGACCAAAATAGTCATAATACCCATAATATTCCACAAATATGTCGTCTACTTCTTGCTAGAAACACAATGTACTGTTTGACTTTAGCTACACTGGTGCTCAAAGAAAGTGCTTCATCTTTAGATTTTTGCATTTCTAACCCTTTCTCACCATGATGACGAGCATATGAATATAAACATGGTATGTATTAATACAGCAGTTAAGGTCAACTCATATTTCACAGTTTCTCTCAAAACTTTTTTCCAAAACAAGCCCTTGCAGCCGTGACACAAGCACAACACTCATGACTGAAACGTAATCAGAAGCCTGGAGTTGCTGCAGTTTTTAAATAGAAAACAAAAAAGGATCCCGACACCTGCTCCGGATGACTGCATCTCTTGCAGACCATGCTTGTGTCGCTGATGCAACGTACAGCTAATGCAATGTTACATCAACGTCTACGCATGTCAGGCTTATCTGATGCAATCTGGGAAAAATGTTGCCGTGTGCTTAAGTTATCCGGACAACGGTTGCAAGTTTTAAGGGTTGATGCGCCACTTTTTAAAGCTCAGATTTCTTGTTTGCTAAGTTGTGACTCATATCTTTTAGGAAATAGTTTATGTCACGTAGCACAAAGTCTGTAAAAGTGTTTTTTTCTAACCTTAATATTTAAATGAGTTTCAGTAAATTTACATAACAAACTGTAATATTTAAGCTGGTTGAGGAAATTGAATTATTTCTTTCCTGGAAAACACTTTGGCTCAGCGTCTGTTGTTTTAAATGTAATGTATAAATGACCGTGCCTCGCCATGACTGCTGTGATATGACACTTAGAGGGAGTTTTTATTGGCATGTTTGCATATTTAAGTCACTATTAAAAAGTCAGTTTAAAGAGAAAGAGCGACTAGCAGTTTTAACCAGCACTGAACCTCCTGAACTCCGAGTAATTTCTGAGCGTTTTCTTGCTCACTGTCACATTTTTACTCACTCTGGGCCCATTATTTTTTAACTGTAATGCAAAGTCCTTCTCAACTATGGAAACAGCACAACCATGGCTAGAAACAGAGAGCTCAGAAATGTCCCTTGTGCTGTATGACACAGTCATAATGCCATCAATCATAAAAAAAGGGGGTAAAAACACATTTATAGTATTTAATTTACTGTATAATACTACTACTAATGAGTTTATTTGTGTAGCACCTTTACGAGCAACAATTCACAAAGTGCTTTGACAGGTAGAACATAAAATACAGGTAAAATATCAGGCAGTAAAAACAATAAAAAGTGCATGAAAACACATGTAAATACACACCGTAAACAATGAAAATGTACAGAAAGGATAGGTAGGTAAAAACTGGTTAGAATTTATAGTTATATAAATAATTACTCCACATACTAGAGATGTTTGACTTCTTGCATCCTTAGCTGGTTTCCATACTTGTCCACTGTTACCTCTGTGTAAACACATCCTGCAGTTCATCCCTAAAATCACTCAGTGTTTGTCACATGACTTCTGGTTGCAGCTGAGTCAATAATATTCTCATAGTTGCACTAAGTTCTTTGTTTTAAAGGATCCTGGTTAGGGCAGATGATTTGTTTTTAATGAAATATAAAGTCTCTTGATTAAATACTCACAGTTTCATGATCAGATATGGTTCATTTCTCTAATGGAGCACCATGATGATTAGTTCAAGGACTGCTGAAAAGTTGAAAATTCAATGATTTCTTTCATTTGTATTCTGATTCAGATTCTGGCTCTGATAAATTAAAAAAATAACGTCCCTTTGAAACCTACCAGTGGTTTCAGAAGCAAGTTTGGCAGCGAAAAAATGCTTTTCTTGACTTTTCTTCTACTTCTTCTTTTTAAATAATATCCATTAACTTTCTAAAGACATTTCTACATGACAGCAGGTGTATAAAAATCTTTAAATCTGGAGAAAACTTTAAAAAAAAATTCCTAAATGATGGTGCATGCTGCAGTGATTGCTATGCTTTTCTACCTAAAAGGAATTGTTCCTTCTAGCATGTACTAAGAATTTCTCTTTACATGTGTTGAAAGTGGGCTTCAAGGTGGATCGGTGGTTAGCAAGTAGGTCCCCGGTTTGAGGACACACGGGATCTTTCTGTGTGGAGTTTGTATGTTCTCCCCGTGCAGCGTGGGTTCTCTCCGGGTTCTTCCTCCCACACAGTCCAAAAACATCCATCCATTATCTATACTCCGCTTAATCCTCATTAGGGTCGTGGGGGGCTGGAGTCTATCCCAGCTGACTCAGGGTGAAGGCAGGGGACACCCTGGACAGGTCACCAGTCTATCACAGGGCTACACTTAGAGACAGACAACCAAGCACACTCACATTCACACACATTTAGAATCACCAGTTAACCTCAACATGTTTTTGGACCTTGTGGAAGGAAGCCGGAGAACCCAGAGAGAACCCACGCTGCATGGGGAGAACATGGAGACTCCACGCAGAAAGATGCCGGGTGTCCTCACCGGGACGCGAACCGGCAACCTTCTTGCTGCGAGGCAACAGTGCTACCAACGGCGCCACCCTGCAGCCCAGTCCAAAAACATGTTGAGGTTAATTGGTGATTCTAAATTGTCACAGAAATAATTTGACTGGATTTTAGTCTTTAAAACATCTCCAGGACTGTTGAAGAGAGTCCTATAACTTAATTTGAATGAATATTGGGGCTGCAAGGTGGCTCGGTGGTTAGCACTGTTGCTTCACAGCTAGAAGAGCCCCGGTTAGTGTCCCGGTTAGGATGCCTGGGATCTTTCGGCATGGCATTTGCATGTTCTCCCTGTGTAGTGTTGGTTCTCCAAAAACATGTTGAGGTTAACTGTGATTCTAAATTGTCTGTAGGTGTGAATGTGAGTGTGCTTGGTTGTCTGTCTCTAAGTGTAGCCCTGTGATAGACTAGTGACCTGTCCAGGTGAATCTGCCTTCAGCTGGGATAGACCCCAGCCCCCCATGACCCTAGTGAGGATTAAGTGGTGTATAGATGATGGGTGGATGTATTGAAAGTTGTTCTAAGTATCCAAGACCAACATGATAAGACTTAGATTAAAGGACACTGAAATTCACATCATCAGTGTCCTCAAACTAAAAGCACATCTTCAACTACAGTTCCGGTAGCACCATCAGAAACTATGATTAAAGACACTGTTGTATGTTTGTACCATGTTCAGGTCCTATAACAGCTGCACTTGATGAGTTTATAAGTTAAACGTGCATGAAAGGGTAAATCAATAATAATAAAAATCTGCCAAATAGATTATGTAAAGTGGCTAAACTCAGATTTAATGGATGTTTTATTGTCATATTGTCAGTGGACATGACTTTTCAAACCTTCTCTATAATCATGCAGCCATCTACAACTGTCTGACGTTGCCAAACTCAAGGGAAATCTTTTCTACTTTCCCTATAAATCCAATGTGATGTATGCTTCAGAGGTTGTAGCACAGTTTGAATTACATTACCAACTACAGTCCTTCTTGAGTCTGCAGAAACTACTGCTGATCCACACTTTTGACCCAGTAAACAAACTTGACCCAGTTATGTAAATGCCTCCTGAAGCAGCTTTAAAGCCGTTTGTACCGGTCCGACACAATGACAAGGAGTCGATAAAACAGACCAGGTGACTGATCCTCTGTTTGCGCCGCTCTCTTTACAGAAATCTCCGGCCAAAAAGCTGAGCCACGCCATCAGTAAATCTCTGGGCTGCGTCCCGATCGGAGAGCCGCCGCATCCTGTGTTCCCCGAGCAGGCCGAGAGACCGCAGGAACTCACCCACACCGTGTAAGTACCGCGGACGTGTGTCAGAAACCCAGCTGATTAGTTGATTAACAACCCCAGCAAGGCTCATGGTGCTCAAGATCTATAGTCTGTTCCCGTCATGTAACAGCCTCCATCTTTCCATTTCACCGCATGATTGATGTTGTGCCATCTCACTAAGATGTCAAAGCCCCTGATTATTTGCTAACGCGGAAACGCTGATATACTACGCGGGTCGGGCGTCTGCAGCCGCTAACATCACAGTCATCTCCATCAGTCTGTCGGCAATGAAACGGGTGATGACGGTATAAATCTCACATTCCCGGCTTTGAGGCTCCTGGAAGTCATTATAGGAAACGCATTATATTCTGCTGCTGTCTTAAACCCTGCACACTCATTTACATTTCAGTTGAAAAATAGTACAATTTCCATAATCAATCCCACCGCCAGAGATACATCCACACAGACGCCGAGGTCACCGTGGTTCTTTTTTTTCCTCATCATCGTCGCATTGAAACTCTGATGCCACCAAATCTAATAATGTTTCAGAAAAGAAAAAGGGGAAAAAAAAGGCGATTCATGATTTTCGATTGTTGGCGGCGTTAACGGGATCACAGGAAAATCTCTCAACTTTCTCATTTGAGCTTTCAACATTTCCCAGTGCACATTTCATAACAAAATCCTGCTTCATATTCCAGTCACGACCATAAATCTAAGCTGTCTGTATATGCTTTCGCTGCCGGCAAGTGTCAGTGAGTAATTGATGGTGAGCTGCATCACGGGGGAGAAAGTCGCTCAGTAAATGCCAAGAAAATAGACACAACGTAAATACGCTCGCATGATTTTTCTGTTTTCCTGCGTGATAGACACCATCATCATCGGAATCGGTTCCCCGCATCCAGGCTCTGCCCACTGGCAAGAGGATTTATTTATTTGTTTATTTTTTTTTCCTTCCCCATGCATTGTGCCCAAACTTATGCATTTAAGATGAAGTTTGCATTTGCATAAATTTACAATTCATCACGACGTGGAGAATCAACTGTCGACCCGGATGTTTTCCTCCCGACCGAGAGATGAGGCGATTGGATTAGCCTCCGCGCCGTATAGGCTGTGTAGCATGAAATTACATCACACAAGTAGATTAATATTGATAAAAATAAAACTTGTGGCTAAAACTAATTTGGAGTACGTCTCTCCGGTGCCCCCAGCAAGCAGTAATCCGTGTCATTTCTCGCCTTTTTTCTTTTTTTATGATGTTGATAATTTCAGATGATGGAGGCCCGGAGAATATTGAGTTCTGTAGTGGAGAATGCAGCCGGGGCTCTTGGGTTTTCTTTGGATTTTATAGCACAAAGTCCTTTTATTATAATTACTAACTACATTTTACTGTAAATACAATGTTTTTTTTGCAGTGGGATGTAAGTACAGCGAGTATAAGGAGGTTGTACTTTGATTTTTTTCCATTTTGTGCTACTTTACACACACATATGACACTCACTCCATAAAGGCTGCATACTACATCAGTTTAGCATCAACACTGTAGTGTACACATGCACAACATCACAGGATCTGCAACATGAACTAAAGCAAATTAACTCCAACACATCATGTTACAACTTTTTTTAATGGAAAAAGAAAACTTCAAGATGAATCAACAGGAGAAATCTGTCAGATAGAACATTATTTATTCCCATTTAAGAGTTCTTGGGTACACTGACTTCTTCTTTTAAGGGAGTTTGTCGACATGCAGGCTCCACATGTGCACAGCAAAATGAGCAAACAGGAGAGAAACAAAATACAAAATCAGCTACAAAACGCATGATTGTTGAGCAAAAACAGACCCTCTGTCAGCAGGGTCTTGCCATTGTTGTTGGTTGGACCATCTGAATCTGCACCACAAAGCTCTGTATGACGAGTGTAAAGACCGATCTGAGAGGCAAAAAAAAAGGGTCATTCCATCTCAAATCATCAAATTTTTAGGACGATTTCTGCTCGACCATTTCCGATTAGCCTAAAATTTTTATAACATAAAATATGGATATGTATGAATACTTTTCCAGATACGTTTTTTTCTGTAAAAACTGCCAGTCGACCCACTTTCTGCACGTTTTTCTTCTTTGCACGTTGAACTTTGACGCTATGTTTGAACAACTATGTCTCATGAACAACTGTTTTCTATGTTTTCTTTTGTGTTATTGTGACATTCAGTTGCATATAGTTGACTCAGTTGATTTGGTGACGTGTGCTCAAAGACTTTTCATGACAGCTTCGATTCACCCATCAGCAATGATTATTTGATCTATTTGTCCAATATTGTAAACTCAATGACACAATGTGATGTAACAGTGAAAATTTCAGGCTTTTTATCTTTAATAGTTCCTGAAACATGGCTGTTCAAACCTCAAGTTTCAATGTGTGATAATGTGCTAAAAGTGAGTAAACTGGCTATTTTTAACAATTATCTTATAAAAGTAATTGATACATCAATGTAAAATTTTACAGATGCCATTTTAAATATCCCTAGTCAATGATAAAATGGTTTCAAGCAGATTGGAAATGGCCGAGCAGAAGGCCCCAGTGATGGAAAATGGAATAACTGATAACAACTCTGGATGTCTTTGCTCGCGTTGCAGCATATAATCAAGATTTCAAAGCTTTAAACCAAAAATAAATCATTTTTGAGGCAGATGCACTCAACTACAAAATCACCCAAATCATTCTACAATGTTAAATTCATTCCAAATCATGTTATTCAAGTCATCCTGTATTTTTATTATATTGCAACACATCTGGCCGAAAAACTAAACATCACAGTGTTAGTTGTTTTTTTTTAATATCATGCAGCTGGATTACTCCAATGCCAGCATTTTAGAGCTACCGGCACGAGCTGCTTTTCAGGGTTAGGGTTTACATAAAGCATCTCACCAGCCACTTCATTAGTTACATCTTGCTTGTATTGACTTGGATCCTCTTTTGCCTTCAGAGCTGCCTCAGGCGTAGCTTCGACAAGGTGCCGGCGACGTTCCTCAGGGGTTTCGGTCCATATTGACATGCACTTGCTGCAGATTTGTGAGCAGCATCTTCACGATGCAAATCTCCCGCTCCACCACATCACATAAGTGCTCTATCGGATTGAGTTCTGGCCATTTCAGTCCAGTGAACTCACCGTCATGTCGTAGAAACCAGTCGGAGATGTGGCTTTAAGACACGGCGTGACTGGTTTCTGGTCAGCAACAACACTCAGGGAGGCTGTGGTGAATAAACGATGCTCTTTTGTTACTAAAGCACCCAAAATGTGCCGATGAAATCACATCATTATACCACCAAAAGCAGCCTGAAGTGATGACACAAGGTAGAATGGATCGAGCTGTTCTGAGACCATCTGAAAGCCAATCTTCTATTGATTTGTAGCGCAACTCCAGTTTTGTGTTTTTAGTTGATAGAAGTGGCACATGGTTAAGTCGTCTGTAGCCCAAGTTCAATGTGTTCGGAGATGCTCTTCTGCATTTTTTGGTTCGGTTGTGTGAGTTACTGTGGCCTATCTGCCAGCTCAAGCCAGTCAGGCTGATTTTCTCTTAACTTGTTTTTTCTTGTTGTGGTCCAGTTTCTGTAAACCCCAGAGATGTTTGTGTGTGAAAATCCCAGTAGATCAGCAGTTTCTGAAACACTCCAACCGGCCCGTCTGTCACCAACAACCATGCCATATTCACAGTCACTTATAGCACCTTTTTTTTTTTCTGCATTCTGGTGCTTGTTTTGAACTTCACCGTCTACATGCCTAAATACACTGAGTTGGTTTCTGCCATGTGATCAGATGTTTGGTTCAACGAGCAGCTCAGTAAATGTACCGACAGTAATGAAGTGGCTGGTGAGTGTGTATCAGTCTACTCTAAACGTCTTGTGTAGCTTCATTTAAATAAATCCAAGAACCCAAATGAGTCCAATTTCAGCAAAGGGAAAAACATGAGGCTGCAAGGTGGCACAGTGGTTAGCACTGTTGCCTCGCAGCAAGAAGGTCGCCGGTTCGCGTCCCGGTGGGGGCACCAGAATCTTTCTGCGTGGAGTTTGCATGTTCTCCCCGTGCAGCGTGGGTTCTCTCCAGGTTCTCCAGCTTCCTCCCACACGGTCCAAAAACATGTTGAGGTTAATTGGTGATTCTAAATTGTCTGTAGGTGTGAATGTGAGTGTGCTTGGTTGTCTGTCTCTAAGTGTAGCCCTGTGATAGACTGGTGACCTGCCCAGGGTGTCTCCTGCCTTCACCCTAAGTCAGCTGGGATAGACTCCAGCCCCCCATGACCCTAGTGAGGATTAAGCGGTGTATAGATGATGGATGGAATCTTAACTATTCATAGTGAAGTTAGTAATGTAGCTCAACACCAATAAAATGCTGCTTTCATCTAAAAATACAATCCATGATTCTTGTTGGAATCAGTTTGTCTGCAGAAGAAGTCCTTCTAATAACACTTGCTTTACTTTGAGTTCTGGATGCAGCATTTTTACTTGTGATGGAGCATTTTTAGATGGTTGGACTGCAACATTTACTCGATTAATGCATCCATCACCGACCATTTGATGCAGCTCAGAATATATACTACATACATCTATGATTCCGTTTTTGGTCAGAATTTCCTGGAACTTCTTATGTCCTCCTTCAGGACTTTAATGGACAAAGTGCATTTTCATGCTCTTCCAGATGGCATTTCAAGGTTGGCGGCTCTACATGTGCGTGTTCACTGACTTTTAGGATAATGGATGTGACTGTTGACCCCTGTTACTGGTTTTTATGCGTTTCAGTCTCTATTGTTATGTCTGACGCAGGGGAAGGTATTTACTAAAAGTCCCTGCCTCCTTTTTCTGATGGAAGGGGGGGGGAAAAAAAAAAAAAAAATCTATTTTTGGTTGCAGAAGCATTTATGTTTTTATTTGTGTGTGCGGTGATGAAGTAGCGCCTCTCATCAGCCGTGCAATGAAAAGATGTTTTTAAACCTGACAACCCTTCAAAACACGTATTCATCACTGACTGC